TATTACAAGATAATGTAATGTTGTTTTCACAGGTTATTTCTTATATTATACTTGAAGAAGCTGAATATAAACTAAGAGATGCTATCAGTAGCAAAGAGAAGGTATGTCATACTACCAGACTGTGCAATGACTAGTGAAAGTTCACACTACTTGCAACTGTTCCTCTTATGTTTGCTGTGTAAAGTTATTACATGTACACCACATTGTGCTATGTGCATATTTGCTGTTCAGTTATGCATGTAAGTAAAATGCTCTTACTTTGTACATTATAACAGGAAACAATTGAATTAAAACAGGAATTATCAACAATGACAGTACCTGAGGTTAGTTATTATACACTATTATTGCACTGTCATCATATAAGCAAATAATTTATGACTCTTAACACATTTTTATCACATATTTTATTTTAATATGAATTTTATAATTATTAGGAAGAATTATTATTGTTTGTTCAAAGTGATACTGAATCAGTTAAAGAAGTTGAGGTATAATATCTCACTAGTTTGTATTAATTATAATAATTATTAATAGGAAGAACCACTTTATGAAGAGTTGACTGCATTGAGGTCTCAGTTTAATGAGATACAAAAAGAAAACAAAGAATTGTCAGACAAATTATTAAAAATGAAGATTGAGTATTTGAGATCACTTACTAGTAATCCTGATTCAGGTTAGAGCACTTTTATTTATTATAATAATTATTATATATTTAATTATAAAGCTGCTAGCAGAGTAATAAGAGGAATGACTTTTGAAATTAATGACTGCAAATTTCATCTTAAAGAAATGACAAGTCCAGACTATCAGCCATTAGTGGATAATAAAAGAATAATAGAGAAATTACAAGAAAAAATAACATTAATGAATATGGAACTAGTTACTGAAAGAGAACACAATGAGAAGATTATAAAAGACATTGAAGGTTTTATTGATGATGTGTGTCATCATTTGATTGTTGATATTTGAATAGATCATTTGAAAGAGGCTGAGGAGAAGAGACAGAAAGAAAAGAAACAAAAAATTAAAAAAGAAATGTGTTTGGTAAGAGTAAGACAGACAAACTATCTACTGTACAAGATGATTTATTGGCGAGAGTAATATTTGGCAAATTTGCCTGTAAAAGTTAATTGGCAAATTTTATATTAGTGATTTTGTGCCACGTGCCATTGAGCATGCTCAGATTGAAACAAAATAACGGATTTTATATTGGTTATTCCTTCATAGAACTGCCAATCGCCAATATTAATTTCTCGCCAATAAATCATCTTGTACAGTATGCACCTTATTTTACAGATTTATTTATTTTGCAATGATCCTGTTACTGGTAAATTAACAAGCTCATTTCTTAATGTTCATAAAGATGAATTACTACCCAGTGTACTGGATAAAGCTTATGAGGTTTGGCTGTTTATTTCATCTTTGTTCATTTTTTTCTCCTCATCAGTTAATGGAATTAGCTCCTCATATTCCTATTGAGAGATGTCGTTTAGTTAAATATAATATTAAAGATAAAGTAATGGATCAGTCCTTTGATCTTAATGAGGTAATTAAGTTGTATCCATCCTATATTGTTACAATTGTAAATTTAGTTTCAGCATCAAACTATTGGACAGATTGCAAGTGGAGCTACAGCTCGTTCTTCTTTTAAATTATTCTTAGAAACTCGTAAAGAAAATGAAACTTTTAAGAAATACAATGATGGAGGTGGGTGTAGTTTGTTGTCATGACAATAAGTCTAATTGTACATGTACTGTAGGTATTAATCTAGAGATATCAGTGGTTGATCTGGCAGCTGGTAAAGTACATGTAGGACCAAGTAAACGAATGAGAGGAGAAAGCAGTTGGACTGTTAGAGTATTAAAACAACATATAGGAGAAGTAAGAGGATTAAGAATATACTGTCATTTATATTGTTCTCCTTTCCTCCCTCACTTGATCTGATCCATTTCTTTCTTTAGGTATTCAATATGAATTCATTATGTATAAGAGTAGCATGGAATGAGAACTGGAGTGGTGTTTGTGAACTTAAGGATGAAGAAAGTTTGTTACTCTATAAATCTCGAGAAAGTAAAGTTAGTACAACTCAGACTAATGCATACATGTACTTACCAATATGCATATTAGACTTTATATTGACAAAGTGTAACTATATGTATATGTCATTGAGCATAGGTGCATGCTACTAACAGATTTCAAATCTGCTAATATTCCTTGTGGTAGCTATAATCAAAAGTCTTTACATTTGTAATTGTTGTTTTACTTTCACTTATTTGTATTTATCTTTACTATTTTATATGTAATTTCTCTCAGTTGCTATATGTATCATCAGATCCTAAAGATTATCAAAAAGAATTTAAAGATAGTTTGATGTACAGATATGTTGAGTTTCATGTCAACTCAATACTACTAAGCATTACAATACCTCCTGCATCTGCGGCCAAATTCACTATGACTAATGTGCCTGAAAGAAGATTGATGAAAATTGTATCAATTGATGAAGAGAATAAAGGACAGGAGAGAAGTAATAATAAATGATTATTGTATTATTTATATTATTCAATACAGGGATACTGGTACAAGTTAGTAGCAGTATAACATTAGGTGAATTGAAGATGGAGCTAGTTCCACTGATTGGTGTACGACCTTCTGGTTTTAGAGTATATGGAATCAGTGACCATGGTGACTATGGAGAATATGAACTGAGGAAACTGGATCAGACATTAATGAATATTGACCCTAGATTAGAGGTGATTTGCGTTATTTGATGGTGTTTCTTTTTCCATTATAACACACACACATCAATCTCTTTATTTATTTTGTGTATCCACTAGTTGATAGTAAGACTGGTACATGTAGTAAGAAGAAGAGAACATAGGGCTCAATTATATTTATTACAAGTTAATGATACAGAGGTAAGAATTATATATTCACATTACATGTACATTATTATAAATTCATTTTAATTTTTAGTTTTGCAAGTATATGATGGAGATGGAGTCTATTTATACTGAGGATACACGAGTGGGAGAATTTAAGAAACAAATTATTGAAGAAGCAAAAAAACAAAGAATTGACTGTGTCCTTGAATTAGACAAGTAAGTACATCATGTGACTATCATGTGACTATCATGTGACTATCATGTGACTCATTGTGTAGAATGAGATTACGTTACAAGAGGGGAGTGTACCCTGGTACAGTATACCTTGATCATGAGTTTATTGATACTAGATATAAGGAAATGTATGTGGATCCATTGAAAGGTCAGTATATCTCAGTATATTTTTAGTGTATGTGTTTCATTAGGACCAGAGAAGAAGAAGCAAGATGAACAGATACAGGTGTATGTTATAAGATGGCATCCATCACAATGTTCAGTTGATCCAATAGAAGAAATTATACTGGATAATGGTTATGATTATAAGCATGTTATTAGAAAGGTATACATGTTGATTAATAAAATTTATAATTTATTGTGCAAAAATTTAGGAAGTTTAGAATTTTAAAAAATTTTTATTGTTCTATTAAATTTTGTAGTTTGTACAGTGAAGCCTAAGCCTTATGATCCTTAGGGTAAAATCAATTGTAGGGGCAAAGGCTCCCTTTAAGTTTACCCCTGCTATAGCTGATGGTAATTTTGGGAATGTGATGATTTTATAGTTAATTGCTGCCACCATTATGTGCATGTGCCAAATTAAACAGGGCTGTAGGAAGAAGATTGAGAGGGGTACGGTTTGTTGCTACACGCAAAGTGCGCGGCAAAATTTGGCTACCTAATTAATGATTTATAAGGGGTGTGGTCAATTAATTATCGCCATTTTATTGTTATTATGGAGGTTATTATTGATATTTGAGCTGGATTGATTTTATTTAGTTCAATCATAATTTCAATTGTTAATTGATGGCTCATGCTTGCCCCTTCAATGTTTACATTCACCTAGTTGATATTTAAAAGTGAAAGCTTGGAAAGAACGGTGTACTACTTTTGTTTTACCAAAAGAGTGCTGTGGGAGTCGCAGGAAGGTCAGGGGTCAGGCAAACTCAAAGAAGAAGAGCTGCTTCTACTACTACAAGCGACTACAAGCCATGCTGATGTCTAATGCTGAGAGCATGTCTGGTTTTAATTAATTAAAAATTGATTTACTCCAAAAATGGTACGGCCATGGCCATGGCGACCGTAGCAGTTCCTACGGCCCTGTTAAAACCCAAATTTTCAGTTATACAATAATTATAAGTATTCTATTTTAGTGTTTCCCAACTATCATATAAGTGTAACATTATAAATATGCACATGTACATTGACTTTAAAATGATACATGTAATACTGTACAGCTAGAATTGACTCTAAAAAAGGTTTGGAGGTTAAAATTTTGGCAAACATTTAACTCTGAGGATGCTTCTATGGAACAGTATCAAACTCGATCAAATTAAAGGCTGAAAATTGGCAAATAGACCTCAATTTGCCAAAATTTTACTCCACCAAACTTTCTAGCTATACGGTAATAACTGTCTTTTGTTTTTATAGCTTTCAAAGTTAAGTGGAGTTCCTTTTAAGTTTATCTCTTATTCAGAGGTTAACCTTTGATATTAAAGCATTAAAAATACTCACTCTTTCTCTGTAACTCTTAGGGTAAATCATTTCCAGTTGATATATCATGTCTTGATATTGAGAATGAGTTTTACTGGTATTCCATCAGTTCAGGCGGATACTCATTAGGACTATATAATGATGGAAGTGTCATATATTACAAGTACTAATGAACACACACACACATTATGTATACACACACACTTACATACACCTCTTACTGTTTATAATTATTTAGAGACAATAGAGAGAGAATGAAAGAGTTAACAGATAAAGAGAGATCAGAAATACAAGAGGCAGAGGAAGCAAGGTCAGTAAACCTCATGTATT